GCTCTCCTCTCTATATCCCTATTTCCTATTTTGATCAGTTGTCTCTCTCTCTCTCTCTCTCTCTCTCTCTACATTGATATATATGCTTGTGCATGCATTTGTTCTGATCTTATTGTTTTCTGATCTTATTGTTGGGCATTCTGTTTTTCTAGTTAAAGGTCTCTTCTTTGACTTCTTAATATCTGAATATTCTAGATATTAGATTCTTGTTTTTTTCTTCTTTTGAACTTCACTCTTTGAAGAAGTCCGTGATAGTGAGTTTCCTTAAACTTCTGCATTTCTTCAGTGGATGGTTTTATGTAATTTATATCTTAGACTTGGAAATTTGTGACTGTCAGGTTTCATGTAATACGTTGATAGCTTGATCACAAATGGAAATGGGATCTTCTTTAATTTTGGTAAAAGGATGCTCAAGTAGTTTATGATCTAGTGAGCATTTGGTTTTTCTTTTTCTTCTTTTACTTAGCAAAATGATATTTGGGAAACTAATAATAAGCTCCCCCCTATTCCAGTCTGAGGTTTCTCAATACCCTCATATATTTTTGTGTTTCATGACTCATCTGATCAGCCTTAAGTTCTATTTCCATTATTCATGCAATAGACCCTCCATTCTAAATAATGCTTATCATTTGTAATTTTAGATAAGACATAATAGTTATCTTCACCATCTGGATTAGTTTAAGAGGGAATGATGGAGAAGGGTTGTGATTAGGAAGGTGAGAAAAAAATTAGGTGGAACGTAGTTTAGGCGCTCCAGTTGTGTTTGCATGACTAGGCGTTTTCCTAAATTATAATGATAGAAAAAGAGTTTTTTTGTCACAAAATGAGCACCTAGGTGGGGTGGGGTGGGGTGGGGTGGGATGGGGTGGGGTGGGGTGGTCCTTACAGACACATGGAGACTTCATGATTGGAATTCACAGAAGCTCCAGTTGCATCCCAAGTATGTAGGACTTGATGGGGTTGTTTCAACAAAAGGGCAATGTGAAGATTTTATACATAGTTTTGCTTTGTTTTGTTTTGTTGTGGGTAGACTTCCACTTGGAGTTCAGACCATATCACTATTATTCTAAATGGACATTCTTCCCTCGTTTTTCGTTTTTGTTTTCTTTGGTAAGTCAGTCATGTTTGCATGATTTTACAGACATCATGTTCAAAACCTTGATTTTCCTAATATAAATCAGTTGTTACAATGGTCAATGAAGATACTTTTATGAGGTGGTTTAAACAGGACTGCCTTTGGAAGGGAAGGAGTTACTTCTTTTGAAACGAGTCTTTCTATTCGTTCTGCCTGTTTTCCTAGAGACTGCATATACAAATTAGTATAATTGTTTTGTTCCATAATATGAAGAATTAGTTCTTGTTTTTTCCCTAATTCTTTGGGTACAACTTTATATGGTGTGGCAATTATATCATATAATGACTGTGGTGGTTCTCCTTTATTTGATGGAGTTACTCCTTTGAGTATTATACTTTTTTCAGGAGGGTGTGTACTAGCAGTAGTAGTACCATCCGTGCTTATATATGTTTTTTCTTCTAGAGTTTGAAGATTATCAAGTGAAGGAATATTTATTTTATATTGAATACATATTTCTTTTAACCATACAAAAAATCCTTTTGTTTCTCTTTCTTTTTTGAGAAATTTGTTGTATTTTTTATGCATTAATTCTATTAATCTTGGTTGAAAGGTTTGAAGATACCATTGCCTAATATTTTGATGTTCTTCAGAAAGATAATCTTTTTTCAAATAATCAATATTAGTTTTCTTTGTTTTTCTTTCTAATTTAGCGGCTAAATATGCTGCTATATACTTATCATCATAAGTATTATTAATATTTATTTCTTCTTCTATATCATCTTCTATTTGTAATGTAAGTATTTGGAATTCTTCTATATTGGGTTCAAGAGTATATGTGGGAAGAACCACATGATCAGCCGTTCTTCTTACTCCTTGTAGTTGGAAGTCTGAAGATGGTATTGGTTGGGAAGAAGAGAGAAGTATGATGACATCAGGAGTAGTATGACAGGATTTTCTAGAAGGTATGAATGATTTTTTGTTTCTTTTCCTATTAATGTCTATATCATCCTTTACTTTAGATTGTTAGAATTTTATTTCAATATTTTCATCTGGATGTTCAATTATTTGGTTTGAAATATTATTTCTAGGTATTTCTTGAGGTTGGTTGGCATGTTGTAATGCCCATGATTGACGTAAAATAATATCTGACCAATGAATTGTTTTAGGTACAATCGCATGTGATTTTTCTATATTTGTTTGAAATAATATAGTCTGATCTTTTTTATCCATTTGCATAATATTAGGACAGAGAGTATTCATTACTTTGTAATAAATTCTATATACTATTGCTAGATTCTGAGAACCATGCATCCTGTTGAATCCATGAGTTTTTAGATTTATAGATAGTATATCTAAGATGTTTGGATCTATTAAAGAAACAGAAAAATTTGGAAAACAATTAAAGTATATGGGTCCACTACATAGGCTGGATTCGACCATACCTAGGAGTGAATCTGTGAAATTATTGTGTCTTGTATCTCTTAGGCATACAAGCATAGAAGTGTTTAACCCTAGTCGGATTAAAGGTTTAATGGCTATTTGAATTAACCCAATGTGTAAATATTTATAACTATTTTCTTTATGTTTTTCAATAATTTTTCTTGAGAGTAGTTGAAAGTCTTCTTGATTCTGAGTTACAGATAAACTTTCTTCTACTGTTTTTATAGCATAACCTAATTTGAATTTAAATGATCCTTTTTTATAAATATCTTTTATTGGTACCTTAAGAATATTTCAATTTTGAATATGATCTTCAATATCATTTATAATAATGTGTTCCTTATTTTTTACTCTGAATGTCTGAGGTTTAGTTGCAGTATTACCTTTAAGATTCCTAATTAAATTTGCCATCTGTAGGTTGCGGATAATGACAATCTGGACGATCAAGGGTCCAGCGTGTTCCCCTAAGCGGCTCTTCCTGGCCTTGGCGGGTACTTTGCCTAGACTTGTCCTTTCGTCTCTTATCTTAACTCTCGGACCAACTTTCTTAGATGTAAATTTAAGTAGGTTTCTACAGTAATATTGTAACTTTTTACTCTAACAGTTTACTGTTTTACTGTTTGGCTCAACTACCATAACGCGCCAAGATCTTCAGTAAAATTCAGTATTTCTTTAAATCGTTTTAGATTAGATATGTGAATATTAAACTGTTATATTTGATGATTTCCTGTAGGATTTTGTAAAAGTTTAGACATAAGAGAATTATACAAATAAGAGGTATAATGGATATATCGATAACTATCCACTGTGCGTGGTTGATATCTCCTATTTTAAAACTAAATAATATTTTAAATTGCATTCGATCTATAGAAATTTTTTCATAACAGACTGATAATTTAAACTGTATTGATACACACTATTTCAACTGAAACTTATTTCAAATAGAAACTTATTACAGGGTGTATAAGATTACAGACTAAACTGAGAAGGATTACAAAGTGTAACTACTTAAAA